CTTACAGAAACCAGGCAAATGTCATACGCTGTCGTTGACACATAAGAGTGCACTACCTAGATGTGAACCGGTCACCTCAAATGTTATATATGTAATGCAAAATTTCTCCATGTCTAGTTGCACTACGTGTTTAGAAAACAGGAATGCAAATTTGGATACATTCCTTAAACTTTGTTGGAAGAGCCGATCATTTGTTATGGAAAATACGACCCAGCATTTCTCGTCCGCTTTGAAGATTTTCGTCGTGCCATTATTCCCTCCCCCCGCCCCCCTCCACTCTCTGCAACCCTAGGGGAAAGAACCTTACTACCTATCTACCTCGCTACCATTCTCTGTTGTTTTGCTTCTGAAAATTCGATGAAATTACTGATTAACTGCGTTTTGACTTAAGGAGGGCGAGTTCTTTGCGATTGAGACCTTCGGCAGTACAGGAAAGGGCGTGGTTCACGACGACATGGACTGCTCACACTACATGAAGAACTTTGAGGTCGGACACGTTCCGTTGAGGTAAGACATTCCCAAGGAAAGGTGGCTGGTCTTCGCAAGCACTTTTAATTAACTTTTGTTGAAGCCTTGTTGATGGCTGTGTCAAGGATAATTCTCAAAATACTGTACTTTCGAAAACCGGCATACAGTTTTGAATTTCGAAGCCTTGAAAGCCCCTAGAATTTTTTTTTTTACCTTTCTGGCATTTCCATGTTAGATTTTAACGATTTTTATATTACAAAACTCAAACGATTTTTCTGTGATTATGACTGAAGTATATTCTTCAAGAATTTATAAAAGGTTTAATCTCCCAATTACAACAAATGGAAAGCTTCAGATCTATAAAGTTGCAAACACCAAACACAATTACCTATATATTTTAACTGCTCATTACAAATTATAGCTATGAGCTATTAGTTGGCAGTAACTTTTATCCATGTTGCCATTTACCAGGTTGCCCAGAGCCAAGCAACTTCTAAACGTCATCAACGAGAACTTCGGCACTCTTGCGTTTTGTAGAAGATGGTTGGATCGGCTGGGACAGGTACTGTGCATTGATCTGTCTTGGTGTAGAGCGCTTCTCAAAGACAAACAGACTGTGAGAAAGAAAAACAATGGCAGAAATCACACAGCCAATCACTGAAGCCAAAGTATTGTGATTGACAAGTGNGTGCCACGGCTGTGTGGAAAACTTAGTATATAAAAGCAAAAGAAAGATCCAAAACTTGGGTTTGTAATCAAAAAGAGATGGTTCGAGCCGTTGCAAAGACTTCTCTTTATTTGCCATGCCAACTTCTTTACATCTCTTTTAGCCACATGATGCATGGTTAAAAGACATAAAATAATTTATCTAGTTAATAAATAATTATATACTCGGTAAAAAGGAAAATATTCAGCATTTCCAAGACCTAAATGGTTGTTTAATTTCTCCATACTAAGCTCCGTACACTTACTATTAGTATCAGTGGGGAGAACTTGTTGCAGTATCAAGACAACTGGCGATCAGTTTGTTATTCTGCAAAGTTGATTAGATGCTGCATGTAGTTTTCGCTTAAAAGATCACTCGTGTGGCCAAATAAAACATTTGATATATTTTTTAAAATTCTTTTTTGGGAAAAAATAAAACAAATACTAGTATATGAAAGTACCACAGAATAACTTTCATATGAATGATC